TGGGCAAAATATCAACCAAACAACTTTGCCAATCAGGATTGTGTGCATACTCTGGGTTTTCTTAAAGGTCATGACTATGAATGGAATGATGTCAATTGCACGGACTGCCACAGATTTACTTGCAAGAAAGGTAAGTTTAAAATACCTTTCTTGTTTTCTTGCAATTGTCTTCCTTGTTTTCTGAGAAGGTGTGTGGGGATGCTGCAGCAGGGTATGATGAGCCATCGGCATCTTGAAGCGTCCTTAAGGAGGGAACGGTTTATTTCAAAATCGAGGATTGATTAGTGAGTTAACGTTTTTAATCCACTCCATCAGATGAGATAATAGATTGATTACTGCAGTGTACCCATTTAACAGGATTATCGCACGAAAGTCGAGACTGAACAACTTCTCATCACAAATGCTTCTATCAACATTGCTCGTTTGTTTACAATAGTGATGATTTTTAACACTAAAAGTAACCCCTTTTTCATCTCCAGTATATAAAAGGAAATACGAACTAGTATTTTTCTTTTCATTACAGATTACGATGAATGCAAACACTTCGGCTACAACTGTCCACAAGGTTCCTCTTGTGTGAACAATGATGGTTCTTACACGTGTCGGTGTGATAGTGGATATCGGCGGAATGCAGCTGGCAACTGTTCGGGTTCGTACAGTTTTCCTTTAACATAAGAAAATACTTGTTATGAACAGTTAAGTAGTATAAAAATCACTTAACAAGCTGGGGAATTGTGCGATAAATAGTGTCAAGCCAAATTTATCAAATTAACTAGCAACACTATCACAACTGATCTTCTTATCCCAACTAGGATTTGAATGGTGTCTGAGATAATTCTAAGCAATATAACAGTTTTCTTAGAAACAGAAATGCTGTGAAACCCGGCTGGGACTGACATTTGGTTTTTTTACATTGTCTTCTCTTCAAAAGGGAAAACCACAATTCTAAAATCCAATTCGATCTGAAAACATTGGACGAAGAACCTCTCCGTAGGTGGTGCCATTGCAAATTCCTATGAATTATTTCATATAAACTTCACATTATTTTATTTATTTCAGTTACTAAATTGACCTCATATGGAAGTCGTTGGAATTCCTAATCAATATAATCATTCATTTTAATTATAATTTGTAGTAAACGTATTATTTAAGCACAATGAAGAACTTTTTTAAAAAATTCTCCATCGAAACAGATATAGACGAGTGCAAGTTGGGTCTATATTCGTGCCACAAATTAGCCCAATGTGTGAATATTCCTGGCTACTACGACTGCAGATGTAAGACAGGCTACGGAGGCGACGGCCAACAATATTGTGGTGGTGAGTGCCAAAAGAAGTTGTATTACATTGGTGTAATGATCGTCATCATCATAATCAAGCCAATAATAATAATAATAATAATAATAATAATAATAATAATAATAAACAACAAAACAACAAACAAACAAATGGAGAGGGGTGATGAAATTGTAGATTCAAGTAAATTTGTGTCCAAACAAAAAACAAAATGTTTTGGCCAATTCTATTCGCACTGACTGGAATTGGAAGCTCTCTGAATAGACCAAGCCGGGAACTCTTGTAATTTTCTCTCCTTCCGGAAGTTAAATGACGGGTTGTTAGGTCTAGACAATGCAAAAAGCTATATCTGAACTGTTGTAGGCCTTTTTTTATATATGAATATCATAGATCGTGTTTTCCTTTTTATTTTTCTTTGTGCATGCAATACAAACGACTGTATGTGATTGGGAAGCTATAAAACAACGGATTTTGAAAACAGTAACTGTTTGAAGTAAATTGTTCTTATTTGTCATTAATTTAACAGCTCCTGTGGTGAACTCTACCAGCACTTGTCTAAATAAGACGGTTGAGCTAACTACAATAGATGGCATTATACAGTCAAATAAGCTTGGGGAGTGGTACGAAAACCGAATGGATTGCCAGTGGAATATAACCTCAAATGCATGGGTGGAACTTACCTTCGATCGTTTTGACACCGAGTTATTTGACGATTACGTAACTGTCTATGATGGCACATCCCGCTCTTCTCCGGTTATTGGACAATTTAGTGGATCCAAGCGCCCTTTACCTCTCATCAGTTCAGGGAAAAACCTTTACGTGAGGTTTACAACCGATGCCGCCCAAAATAAACAATACAAGGGCTTTCGTGCAAATTACCGAGGTAAGATGCGTTGCAATTTAATGAAAAAAATATATGTCTAAAACACTAAGCACTTTTATGATGACTGGTGTGTTGCACCTATTTTGTCAATAATTATGACCGATAATTGTGAACGCGCATAAAAGAAAAAGAAAAGAAAAAAAAAAACCACTCCTGTTTGAACATTGGGACATCTTATTTGAAAACTCGTTCGTATTTTACGGTGCCTTGAGTCATCTGGGTACATTTGCTCCCATTTTGGATCAGTTTACCAAAATTTCGGTGTAATTTCTGACTGGCTAAAGTGATTGCTGTGGTTTTGGTTTAACGACACTCAATGAAAATCCGGTCTATTTTTGTTTCTTATGATTAGTCATTACAGGAGGATCCATCCGTATAAACAACAGTTCACCAATACCGTCACCTGAGGGAAGAGTTGAAATCTTCTACGATGGTAAGTGGGGCACAATCTGCGATGACGGATGGGATATGAATGATGCTAACGTCTTCTGCAGACAACTTGGCTTCGCTCGCGCTCTACGAGCATACAGCAGTGCCACCCATGGTCAAGGAACTGGTCCAATTTGGATGGATGACGTGGCATGCTCAGGGAGTGAGGCCCATATGCATGAATGCAGACACCGTGGATGGGGCAACCATGACTGCACTCACAGCCGAGATGCCAGTGTGAGGTGCTCTTATGGATCTTCTGTCGTTCGTCTGGCGGACGGAGGTCTTCACTTTGGTCGTGTTGAAGTGTACGTCTACGGACAGTGGGGAACGGTGTGTGATCACTACTGGGATATGAGAGAAGCGCATGTGGTGTGTCGCCAGCTGGGATTTACCGGTGCAGCTTCGGTAACTTACTGGGCAACATTCGGCCCTGGTTCTGGCCGTATCTGGATGAATCATGTCCACTGTGGAGGAGGAGAGTCGTCGCTACTTAACTGTCGTCATGATGGATGGGGAAATCACCACTGTAGCCATTGGGAGGATGCAGGGGTGGTCTGTAGCATCTAGATGGCTTGGAACGACGCCGAAACTTGACCTGAGATAGCTCTAACATTCGCTGATTAAGAGTCTCAGACAGTGTGGTCTGTAGAATAGCAACATTAATTCGCTTTACTACATTATTGAATTTACTTTTGTTTTATGTCACAATTACCAGCGACTTCTGTTGGATTTCGCTACATCTCTGACACTCAGTAACAGAAAAATACTGTCCAAAACCGCTCTAGTAGACAAGTGTATTTCCTACAGTAATCCGTTTCTAACTGACTTCTCACCAAGTTCTCTTCTTTTAAGAAGAAAATCGTGGGATGTATCCCTTTCTTTAGGGAGTACCGTAAGGAGCGAAGCAAAGTAGCCTAACATTAAAAGTGAAAATTGGCCTCGAAAAACAAACCGTGCCGTGAGACTACGGTTAAATTACAATTGCTTAGTTCCAGCCTATACAGACTGATCTTAATTCTTGGCACTTTTTTTCGTTTGTTGTTTCTTCCTGATTGTTTTGGTTGTTGTTTTTTCTTTTTAGTTTTAGTTTCGCGATGATCCCTTTGCTTCTGAATATACAGTTTTTGTTGGTTAGACATTTGCTATCAAAACAAAAAGCAAACAAACAAACAAACAAACCCCAAAACATAAACATAAAATCAAGTTAATGAAATCGTCAATATCTGGAACTGCTAATATCGAAAGGATCGCTTCGGATAAAATATGTAGCATGGCCAAACTTCAGGTCTTAGGAATTAAGCACTTTATAACCGAAGACCACCGGGAAACAGATTGTGACATGAAACTGAGTGATACTGTGTTCACGAAGCTTTTAGGTGGCTTATAAGTAGCTTTCCGCTAATCAGCGCTAGCAAATCTAATATATGAAATGTATCCCATTTAAAAGGTTTAGATCTAGAACAATAGCCTACATTACATATGTAATCATTTTTGTTTTGTTTTGTTTATCAATGGTTACGAAACTAAAAGCTGTTGTTTTAACGAATTGACTTCACGTCATATTAGTCAAACAAGTTTTCAAGCAACTACCATGGCAACGTCAAGGACGACATTTGTCACTTGTAAATGCCGCTCTGCTAACAAATCGAATTTTTTTGAGAACTGTTCAGCGTACT